AAGAATCTTAATAAGCATAGAAGTAAACATGGGAAAAGCATTCACTCTCTCTAAAGAATTATTCCAACACCTCAGCCACTGGAAATGCAACGTATCGAAATCATTGCTGAACGTAATAAAATATGCCGTCTTCTTTGGCCAACGCAGCATGCATTCTATTCAAAAATTACATTGGAATAATCATTACTTTCCTATTTTATAACGTAGGAAATATTTGTCAATGTCGGTGATAGCAAACGCAAACGAAAGAAGCCGAAGCTGAATAATGACGATGAGTTATGACGCCGCTTCGTGTTTTGATTTGCGCTGTACAACAAATCTCACACTAGCGAATCAATCTTAGAAAAATCTTCTTTCATTTGTCGCATCTACTTACATCGCGCATCATCTTTTTGCAGGAAATCTTCAGAATCGTCATCAATCTTCTTTCTATCTACTCAGCGTGCGTGCAGCTAGCTACAGCAAAACACAATCTTTTCTGCATCGTAGATAGAGTCGTCCCCCTCGCCGTCCGCTCAGTTGTGTGGGTTCGTACATGTATAGATGTTGGAGTGCGTGTTTTCTTCCAACGCTGCAGTTCAACGTTGTCTCGTCACAAACCGTTTGGCGCTGTTATCTGTCTCTATAAATTCCAAAGAGTGAAGGGGGTTTGATTTCACTCAAGTTGAGTGTAAGACGACCGAATTTTCAGTTTATTTAATGCACCGAAACATTATTATCATTATCATTATTACATACCAACCATATCTGCCACAAATATCACTGTTTTACTTACAAAATTTTACCGTTTTGGTCTAATCTCCCGAACGTTTTTTAAAGCTTTATTTAAATATTTTTTTTCATAATATTTAAAAAAAGATCAGAGTAAACCATCAGTAATGTTCTGCATGAGCTAGAAACCTACAAACTGGAACTTGTTGCACTCAAATCGTTTAAAACGCTGTACAGACTGGAGAGTTATAACATGTTATAACGGTTGTCAAATAATTGCAACACAGAAACCACCATCAAGATAGCGCTATAACATGTTATAACTCTGTAGTCTGAACGTACTATAAGCCATCACCGAGAAAAGTGAGTGAATAACAAACCTTTTCAGCGTCTCCAGAGCGTAAAATTATTGACTGCTTAGGCTGAGTGTGAAATCACTATTGAAATTTTTCCATTGAAAATGTACGCTCAGTCATTCAAAACAAGGCTTGGGTACCATCACGGAAGAATAAACGTGCTGACTGAGCTACTGACTGAGTGCTCTGCTGTCAGTGACTCGTTTACTTCCCATCCATTCAAACTCTTATAGTACGTTCAGACTACAGAGTTATAACATGTTATAGCGCTATCTTGATGGTGGTTTATGTGTTGCAATTATTTGACAACCTTTATAACATGTTATAACTGCTCAGTCTGGACAGCGTTTTACAAGGCAGTGAATGATGAGGTGGATGGATGTTCATATTCATATGAAAATGACTCATTGAACCTGAATTTTTTGCATTGCACGGTATATATATACACACACACATACATTTTCCGATCTCGTCGAACTGAGACGATTTACCCTCCGGGTTATCGAAGATGTGTTTTTCAAGTGAAATTATAGACTTTTGGTACAACTAAGTGGACGAGAAAGGCAAAAGGAGTAAATAAATTGATAAGGTTTTTGACCTAACATGTTATTTTAAACTGTGCTTGAATTATGTGATATTGGAGCCATTACTTCACTATATTGTAAAATTGTCCGAGGAATAGACTGCTGTTTTTTTTATTAAAGTAGGGTAAATGCTGACTTTGGCATCCATTGTCTGTTTTCGGCTACCAAAATGTAAACACTAATTTCGCTGTATTTTCACACACAAAAACTTCGCTGAATGTATTTAAACGATTCCTTAGTCTTTCACCTTCAATCTGATTACATCTTTACCACTGAGCAAATCTGTTATGCCAGGTTTTTCTTCAAATAAAACGTAAACACTACAAAATACGGCTGATTTCAAGTTGCCGATAATAGAACAGCTGGTTAACACGCAGTTCCAATGAAAAGGTTGTCGAAGAATGAGATGCTACCGACAAAAGTAACACTCACCTGAGAAGTTTGGAGCGTTGTAAAAACGTTTTGGGCAATTCTGTCGATTGGAATGGAAAGAATAGCAAGCAGCAGACAAATGTAAAAAAATAAACTCATCATATGTGTGTGCGTGACGTTGAGAAATTGCTAATTGGATTGCTTTTGGAAAAGGGATCGAAAAAATCAACAGTTATCTTTAAAACACGCCACATCAAATTGGTTTTCATCAAGTGTAAGTCTTATGGTTGTGGTGAATACCACCCTTAACACTATAAGCTACAGTGATAGCGCTCGAAGAAAAATGATTGTTTATAGACTCTATTAAAAAGCTTGTACTGGTGTAGGCTATTGTAAATAAACACTGTGAGCTGCACACTTAGAAAAAACTAATTTACACGTGACGGAATCCATCTATGACATGAAATATGAAACGTAAACAAACGTGTCTTGTAATTTTAAGTGCTCCGAGACTGAAAAGTTCGTTGCTCGATGAAAAGTACGTTTGATTAAGCTATATTTCGCGTCTGTTATGACTCAAATTTATGTCAAAATTGACGCTCGTATATGTCAGTCTCTGAGCACCTAAATTTACATGATTTTTTCTAAGTGTGTGGACTCACCCTCGTTAACTGCACAAGCTGCAGACCACACAACTGTTTCGCTTTTACTCCTTTTACTTCAAAAATCTAACTAAAAACAATACTTAGTTGCACCATTATAGACGCTTTGTTACAATATATAAAAATGGTATGATTAAACTCGCTTCGAAGAAAGCAGCGGAAAAATGGAACATGGTAAAGTAAAAAACACAAAAAATCACAGTTCTCTTGCATTTAAACTCCAAGACTAAAAAATGCATGAAAGTTCTTTGGAAAATCTTCATTTCAAACATATTATATCGCTCAAACATAAACCCGGAGTGATTTGAGATTTGGGCTTAATTGCTTTTGTAAACAAACACGTCAATCGCCGATTTTTCGTGAATAAAAGCTCAATCGCGTAAACAAGCTGTACCAAATGATAGAGGAATAATTCCTCTACCTCATAGTGTTATTAGTTTTCCAAATTGAGCTCTCATTCGCGAGAAATCGGCGATTGACGTGTTTGTTTACAAATGCAATTACGCCCAAATCTCAAATCACTCTGAAAATTATTCCGAGTGAAATCTTCCTGTTGAAAATTAGCCCGAAAATTAAAAAGAATGTCTGCTTCAAGAAATTATGGACAGAATCATTCCTATTCCAAAATATGAGATAGATACAGTTCGTAACCTCAATTATGGGAACACGACAATAATGGTTGGGACAAGTTTTGTTTTAAAACTCTGTTGAAGCTTTGAACCATAGCTGGTATTTTTCAAATACATTGGTTACCTTTTCTAACGCAAAGGCGCATTTGTTGGTGTGCCTCCGAAAAAAAAAAAAACTAAAGAGTTAACCATATAGTTAATATAATATATTTGAGATCACACAAGGTATATTTGACAGAAATGCCTCAAGGTTTCGTTTCTGTCACAATACCCTCACGATCTGAAATTAGTTGAGGTAAGTGGAATTTACACGAGGGGGGCGACTCTATCTAAGATGCAGGAAAAATGTCACTTTGCTGCTGTGAGATGATCAAAGCCTTAGTAGATAGAAAGAAGATTTTGAAGATTTCCTGCAAAAAGGTGGAGAGCGATGCGAGTAGATGGAAATAGATGCAAGAGACGAAAAAAGATTTTTTGTAGGTTGATTCGCTTTCCATCAGAATTTATCTATTTTATCTATGAGTTATATTGCTTGCTATTGAAGAAATTTGCTTTACTTTCTTTTGTTCTGTATACGGAAGAAATTTGGAAGCTTAAATTTGATTTCAAGATTTCAAAATGGTAATTTTGTAAAATGTTGCTGAAGCTGGTTATTGACTGCAATTTCTTCCATTTCTTATTTTATGTAAGAGTGATTCAAGATTATTCAACACGCACTTCCATATTAAATTTATAAGATTTCGGTCACACAAGCCAATGATCCCACTTTCCCCAGTGTACCGTATAGTTTTTTTTTATTGTTTGTGTCTAATATTGAGCTGCTAAATCAATTAAATTCATACAAGGATCGCTGAACACATTTTTTTCGCCACTAAAAATACTATACACATACCTTGTTTAGTCAGCATTTTATTCCACCAAAATAGCTTCAACGACGCAAACCATTCTCTGTTCGAACTGTTTCCTTTCGCTCATCAACCGACCAACCCTGCCCTGCCATATCTTCATCAAACATAATTGGACCTAATGAGCAGCATCATGTCCCTGATGATGGTTGTTGGAACGAAAGCCAGACGAAGCAGGAAATAAGGAAAACATGACTTGACGACACTGATTGCTTGGTAAACGGTCGTGTGCTGATTTTCCTTCACTCAAACCACCCCCACCCTCACTCCCTTTCTCTTTCTAGACCCACACAAAAAAAAACAGCATAAAATTGTAGGTATTAATCCTCTTTGGGAGTGTTTTTTTCTTCTCCTATGCGCTTACCTACCCACATCCTTATCCTTATATATGCGCTTCGAGTGGTTTTCTTCGCTCTGGTGTTGGTGCGGCGAAGCCATGCTCAATTTATTATATAAGGAAAATACACACAATCAATCGCTGACACATGTATGAATGCAGGAGACTCCGCCCCTGAGTGTTGTTCTGCTGCTAGCGGTAGTGGTAGTGGTGGAGGAAATCTAAAAGACTGGGCTAGATTTCCCTCGGATCAACGCGTCATATGAAGCCAAAGTGGGAGGATAAATTTACCATGGTGACATGTCATCATCATCATCATCATCGTCGGCATCGCATGTCTGCTCTGCATGTTATGTACACATTGCCAGTTTCAGTTAATAAATTGGCCAATTTATCCGCTTTTGTGGTCGTTAATTACGAAGCAACCGGGTAATTAGTGTTCACTGGCTCTCTAAGTTGACTGGTTTATTTTAGAATGTTCAATCAGATCTTTATACAGAAGCTTTACGATACCGATCTCTCGTCTGGTTTGGGTTTTGAAATCACACAGAAACGACTAATTTTGTACAAATCGGATTATTTGTACTGTACATGAGAATTCGAGTGAGACTATATATAGAAACAAACCCTAAGTGGGACTAGATCATATGCACGATACTATACATATGTGACTTAATAACATTTTCTTCCAGCCATTGATCTAACAATTGACTCGCCAATTTACGTCATATAAGCCTTTTCGTCACCGACAATGTCCACGTCGCTGCAGTCGTCATCGGAATCGTTTCCATAGTCATCGTCATCGTCGCTTAGCAGCTCTCCGTTGCGATCCATCATGGGCGGCCGGCGGACCAAGCTGAACGATGAGTTGGCCGATGCGTGCAATCCTTTTACTATGCCTCCCATCAGCGGTGGGCCGGCACCCATGGGCAGCGGTTTTCCAGGAATTCCACCACCTCCAGCCGACTGTTTGCCTCCGTGGTTGTTGGTGTTGTTATTGCTGTTGTACATGGAAAACCCTTTTTCACCTGTCCCGCTGGAATTCAATCGGTTGGTGGCCCCAGCTGAATTAGATTGGCTGGAAGAACTGGTACCGCTGGTTCCAGATGCTCCCGCACTGGTGCCCGACTCATTGCGCGAGAAATCAACCGGTTCTGAAAGGGGATAAAAAATGATTTTCTTGTATTTCGATCGCACAAACAATTCTTGAAGAAATTTCGAAACATCCTATGCTATCCGAAGAGAGATACTTTGTATCGATTTCCCTTCTTTCACTTGACCTACAACCAAAGATGCAATGAACCATTTAGTCAAATAGTAGTTTTTCACACATCTGTCGGCATTCAATTGGTAGTAAGTAATAAAAACCCCATATAGAAATTTGGAAAAATGGAAATAATACACACATTAAAAAAAGTTGATGACAACCTAAAGCAATCACTCGTGGACTTGGTCGTTCTTTTTTCGCGATTATATTTTTTAATCACTTTCCTAACAGTCTCCAGATTTTTTTTTTCTAATTTCAAATCTGTATAAAATCATTTTAATCTGTACCTGTCTGTCAAAAATCTGTATAAATTCGTTAATATGGCTTTAGCGTGGACCCATGTAAATCTCCCTTGAGGTTATTCAAAGTTCAGAACGAGTTTGTTCAAAGTTTAGAATCTTTAAAAATTATGTTATTTTTTTTTTAAATATCTATTTACAAAGAGCTCTCTTAACGGAATCCCTTTATGAAAAGCTTTTTGAGTGTGTTGATTTATTTCCTTTTAATTCTGTTATAATTGTTTATCATTTGACAGATACGCGTATTTCGTCTACTACTTGCAGACTTAATCCAAAGATAAATACTAAGATGAAACTGTCGGAAGAAAAACTTTCTATTTTAGTGTCCTCTTTCACGGTCCCTTTCATCCAATGAGTACCCCCCGTATTCAAGGTAATTTTGTGGTTTTGCTGCCCCCTCGGTAGAGATGAAATTTTGCGCTCATTTTTATCAAAACAAACACACTTAAATCAGAGATGTCCCATTTTTTAATTACTCGATTAACAACTTATCGATTATTTTTTGTTCGCTGTGCTGCCATTTTTCCACCAATGAGAGTGCAGCACATGTTTGAAACGGTGAGGATCCTCTGGAGATGTTAATCCTTATATCGGCACGATATAACCAATTACAAATATTTTACTTTTCGGTTCGTTAATCGATTAATCAATTATTCGTAAGAAAATCGGCCATCACTAGATGAATGTGAAACGTCATTTCAAATATAAGGACCGTACATAAATAATGATACAATTTGAAAGGGACCGGTGCTAATCACAAATTACGTCCCACGGTAACTGAAATAAATACGAGTGTTCACCGGTTGCTTAATCAGTGCCAAGTACTCAATACCACTGTGGTGTGGCGTTGAGTACTTGGCACTGATGAAGTCTGCAAGTAGTAGACGAAATACGCGTATCTGTCAAATGATAAACAATTATAACGGAATTAAAAGTAAATAAATCAACACACTCAAAAAGCTTTTTATAAGGGATTCCGTTAAGAGGTTCGACAAAATTAAAAGATCTATAGTATTTACAAGATCTTGAAATCCTAGAATCTTGATTTTCTAAGTGATATGAATCTTTCCTTCAAGTCTAAAAATACAAATAAAATCAATTCCCAGTAGCGAGAGACAAACCTGCTTCCGGCTGAACATTTCTTTAATATTCGGAACACGACGCCTCCGATTAAATTAAAATTCAAGTATTCAATTAACTAATGTATTTAATAAATATTGCGAGGCAAGCTTCAAAGCTTTAAGAGAGGTTTAAAACAAAACTTGTTAAACAATTTATTCGTATTCTCATAGGTATACTGGCTTAAGCAATGTACATACGAGTTTTCATTGATTGTAATAAAAGTAATCTTTCATGTGTAAACATTGCAACCTTTGCACCCTTGACTTTAACATACGCGCTATTTCAAACCTACCCAAATTTGGGTAGAATCCACCCAGATCGGTCAAAACTAAACCTACTTAAACATGGGTAAACTATGTTGGGAGTGACAAGTTGACAAATGAACAACGTCGATCGGATTCATGTCAATGTTGTTCATTTGTCAACTTGTCACTCCCAACACAGTTTACCCATTTTTGGGTACGTTCAGTTTTGACCGATCTGAGTGGATTGTACCCAAATTTGGGTAGTTTTGAAATAGCGTGTATGCAGATTGGTTGTATTTGCTGACGTTAGGTGACGTTTTGAACAGTAACTACAACAATCAATACGAAACTAACGATTTTAAATTGGCTCACCACTTTAGTAGCCTATTGGTCCCAAGCAAACGATTAACGTACCCTATTCTAGTTGAAATTCTATTACTACACTATGTTTGTTTTGATTCGCTATGAAAGTTTGACAGATAACATCAGGGGTGTGTGGATTCATGCAGAACATGCAGGGGTGAGTGAAATAGCTTGGGACTGCTTGGGACCGTTGTTCTGGTACTGAGTGAGCCAAAAATAATAATGATTTTCTTCGGGACCCAGTGGTCTTAGAGTTACCTCTATGGTAACTATCTGTCTCCTGAGTGATGTATGGTAAATCGAAGAGTTAGCTATATTTTAATGTAATATATTTGATACAAGACAAGATGAGATTAAATTGTGATGGAGTGTTCGGCTGTAAGATTCAATTTACTGAGTTACGGCTTTGCAACCCAAAATTAGAACAAGATTGGTGCAATTCGTTTCTACAATCAAAACCACAAAAAATATGATAGATCACTGTATGCTGCCTGTTTTATACCACCACTACTGAAAGCACGGCACCACTTTCCTAGAGGCGAAAAATAAACCGGAAAAATAATGTAGATGAGATTTGAACCACGGGGGCAACAATCACGAATTTCGGCGGAGCTCACATCAATGTGATTAATATAGTGGGTAAGGAGGATGACGGCAACAGACTATTCTTTCTAGCATTCAGCACTGCAATGCAAGTGTGAAAGAGTAAGCTGTCTTGTTCTGTCGTGCCTCCGTCAGTTTTACGGTGTCAGTATGTCCAAAAGTGTCAGATTTTCCAAAAATGTCAAGATCATGTGAGCTATGGTGCATCTATATGTGGTTGACAGGGATAGGGTCCCCCTGATTTGAACATCATTTCAAGGTTATCGATTTTGGAAGCGTCAACAAAACAAATGTAGGGGTGCCGCGTAAAAAATGAACCCATCACCTGTACCAAACAGTTTTTTAAAGGTCCTTATTTCGTTAAAATCAACATTTTCCAGTTTTCCACTGTCAACATCCGTAAAAATTATGCACGATAAACAGTTACTAAGCTTACCATTATTACATGAACACTTTTCAGCAACATGGATTTAATATCGGCCCCCAGTAGCTTCAGCCCCTCGAAAATGGTCCTTAAATTGAGATTGCTGGAACTTTTGACGTAGGACTACGTCTTTCAGCAACATATTGGGGTACAATTTCAAAACAACCAAAATTGATCGCGTTACGAAAATTGGTCAGGTTTTGATCACTTATAACTCTGTCAATAGAGGATCGATTTTAATTCTAAACAAGCCAATCAATTGGAAATTTTTCTAAGAGTCTGATCTAAAATGAACATTTTATCAATTTTCAATAGGTCTTTATTGAAAATTACACAAATGTCCAACTGTTGCAATGGTGATCAAAATTATCACCGATTGCCTACAAAAAGCGCTTTCCCTAAAACAGATTTCAAAACTGAATACCATCCGGTCTCGCCGAACGGTACTCATTCAATCGCCGTTTGTGGTGGTGTCCGGTCGGTCGTCATCAGCAGCAGCAGCAGCAACAGTGCTTTCGGCGCATGTCATTGAACATTGTTCTCCAGCACACAACGAAAGGCTGTGCGCAAACAGCGAGCTGCAGTCCACATGAGCGTCCATCCCCAAAGAAGGAGGAAGAAGCCGCACCGCTACTAATCGGATTCAGTAGCTCTTTGTGAGTCGCGGTGGGCCATCTATACCAAGCGCGTCACTCTCGTTCCAAAAAACCATACAGCTCGCCAGTCTCATCTGTGTTGAAAACCCTAATAGCTCAGCACTACTCAACCATCACGACAAAACGGTTCTTTTCAGGACCACGTTAAATTATTGGCCACACCAAGCGCGTCACCCTTGTTAGAAAAACATACAGCTCACCAGATTCATCTGTGTTGAACACCCTAATAGCTCAGCACTACTCAACCATCACAACAAAACGGTCCTTTTCAGGAACACCATAAATTTGTTAAAGAGCATTTTCTGGACATTTGTCAATGTCATCAATCGGATGTCATTTCCCATAAGTTTAAATCCAACATTCCATGTATTTTTAAGGCGAAATTGGGGGTGCAATTCCAAAAACCAATGTCGGTCGGGGCCTGAAATCGGACTGATTTTGATCCAGAGATGATGGATTCTAATAATGCTGCACCGAATATTCGGCCGAATATCAGACTTTAAGCTAACAAAAGTTCAATCAATCGTTTTGTCGGCAACTAACTTATAAGAAAATGGCCGAATATCAGCAAAATTTCACATGTAAACACCGAACACCAAGCCAAATAGCACTATCCCGTGCAGCTCTAGATTGTAATTTTTAATACGTCAATCGATGGTAAATTTTTCTAAGAAATCTGTTTAAATTTAGACCGATTTTCAAAAGAGCACTATTGAATATGCAACTGATGCTATGATAATTAAAATTATCACCGATTGCCTGCAAAAAGTGCTTTCCCTAGCACAGATTTCAAAATCGAATTCCATCCGGTCTCGCCGAAAGGAATTTTTTCAATCACCGCGTTTGGTGAGTAGTGGTATCCGATCGTCATCAGCATCAGCAGCAACAGTGCTTTCGACGCATGGCGTTGTACATTGTTCTCCAGCACACAAAAAAGGCTTCCCGCAAGCAGCTAGCTATCAAGACTGCCCTCAAGAGAACTCAATTCACCGAAGAAGGTTGAGGAAGCCGCATCGCTACTGATCGGATTCAGTTGCTCATCGTGAACCGCTGTGGGCCATCTATGACAAGCGCGTCATCCTCGTTCCAAACAACGTACAGCTCGCCATCCTCATCCGTGTTGAACACCCTAATAGTTCAGCATTACTCACATATCATGACAAAACGGTTCTTTTCTGGACCACCTTAAAATATTGTTTAATTTTCAATGAACGTTGGCTCGCCTTGCTGCCAGCCACATCACCCCCAAAGCTCTTTGATAATGTACCCAGCAACCAAACGGTTGTGGTCAAATGCGTAACAGTATTGAAAAGGTACATAAAAATTCTCGCAATGATCGTATACCACATGACTCTCTCAATTAACCAGAAACACTTCGAATTAAGGTAAGGTTTTCTCCAGGACGCTAGAAAAAAGCAAAAAAAATCTCGAATTTATATGATTGATCGCAAATATCTCGCGATTGAAAAATGTTAGCAAGAAATTCCTCCAGTCAATTTTCGCTTTTTTTTATTATCTATTGAATAATCAAAAAATTCCGTACGTTTAGTGCACGAAAATGCGTAGTTTTGTTATCAGAAAACGAGGTGTTTCCGTGATGGGAAAAAGTAGTTTCCCTAACACAGTCGCCGAATATTGATACCGAGCACGTAATCCTACGTCAAATCTACGGTCGTGTCTCTTACTTGTTTTCATCGTTATACACAACACAATTCTCTTCATTTTAGTAATCAAAGCAGCATTTGACCGTGTTGATCATGCTATATTGTTGGCTAAACTAAGGCACTTAGGTGCTTCCGATGCATTTGTGTGCTGGTTAGAGTCGTGCCTAGCAAATCGCTCACTTTCTGTGAAATTGGGAAACGCTGAGTCGCGAGTCTTCCACTGTACATCAGGTGTCCCTCAGGGCAGCAACGTCGGGCCGTTACTCTTTTCGCTTTATTTCAACGATGTGTGCTTATTACTTCCTCCAGGATGCAAAATCGTGTACGCTGATGACCTTAAAATGTACCTTGAGGTTCGTACAGTTGATGACTGCATTAAGATGCAGAAATTGATTGACACGTTTTATGAATGGTGTGCTTGCAACTTGCTCAATATCAGCGTACCGAAGTGCTCTGTAATCAGTTTCAGCCGAAAGAAGAGCACTATAGAATATCTTTATTCCATAAATAGCCAGCAAGTTCAGCGTGTGACAGTTGTGAAGGATCTTGGAGTTCTGTTGGACACAGGACTCTCATTCCATAACCACTACAATAGTATTATTGCTAAAGCGAACAAAAACCTTGGTTTCATCATGAGAGTTGGAAAGGAGTTTCGTGACCCGTATTGTTTGAGATCTCTTTATTATGTGCTTGTACGCTCCATCCTGGAGACGGCAGCGGTAGTTTGGAGCCCCTACACCGACATCTGGTCAGCACGGATTGAATCTATACAGAGGAAGTTCATTAAGTTTGCGCTTCGAACTCTTCCCTGGATAGATCCGGTGGTACTTCCCCCATACGAAAACCGATGCAAGCTTTTAGGATTGGACACACTGGCTAAAAGGAGAGATGACATGCGTGCTGTATTTGTTAGAAAATTACTTTGCGGAATAATTGATTCCCCTAACATTTTGGCTAAGTTGAATTTGAACGTGACCTCGAGAGTTCTTCGTTCCACGAACTTCCTCCGTCTTCCTTTTCACCGGACAGTTTACGGTCAAAACGAACCAATATGTGCTATGTGTAACATTTTTAACTATATTTTCCACTTGTTTGACTTTAACGTTAGCTGTGAAACATTTTAATGTCGTTTACGTAATCGCAATTTAGTATAGTTGTTTAAGTTTTTGTTCGTTTAAATCATGTAGAACATGTTTGTCAGATGATTGTAGATAATAAATAAATAAATAAATAAATAAATAATTTCAGTTCGTAAATTGAACAAAAAGCGTTCTAAAAACCAACAAACTTGAGAAGCGCAGGCAAAAACTGAACGAAACACATTACCATTACCAAGTGATTCGTTCACGGATCTAATTTTAAATAAGTACACGGACTATTGTCCGACTCAAAAGTGAGTTGAATTTACCCCTCGCATTGGTTGAAAGCTAAGAGTACACAAATAAATGCTCGGCAAACAAGATTTTTTTCCTCTGATTCCATAACCTATATTTGCAACGTGGCATGTGTGAACCAGTCTAAGCCTGAAAATCTCTTTAATAAAGAAAGAACATACGAGCACAACAACTAATGAGTTCTGAGGCACATTTTCTAATGCAAAATAAGCTTTTCAAACCATGACTACAACAACTACAACCTGAAAGTCATCATGTTAATGTCTGTTGTGCAAGCCTGACAATAAATTTAATTAAATCAAGTTGTCCTTTCTTAGAATCAGTCCGTGAAGGCCACCCAACAGTTCGAATCCATTGAAAACTCTCCTTCTTTGAATGGACGAACCCCGTTCGCTAAAAGCCCTTTCCCACAACAATGGGAACGAGACCAATTTACAACTTCCAAGACGTTGTTCTTCTTAATTAAATTAGGCCTTCCTCCTCCTAGCAAAAATTCTCAAATTTCAGAATCTTACCGGCATTATTGGTTTCTCGCCTCCGTAGTTGCTTCTTGTGTTTCATTCGCCTATTCTGGAACCAGGTTTTCACTTGGGTCTCACTGAGACCCAACGCGGATGCCAATTCCACTCGTTCTGGTGTAGATAAATATCTGCGATACAAAGCAAAAATGTTAAACACGCCGAACATTGATCATTCTGCTGGCCAGCGTAATTCATATTTTATAACCTAATTATAATTACTAACACATTAAACATCATAAAAAACAACACCCACCTTTGAGCTTCGAATCGCTTCTCCAGCCCCGTCAGTTGAGGGTCACTAAAAACGGTCCGTGCCTTTCGCCTCCGGCAGTGTCTCAGAGCACTCATGCCCATGCCGAGTCCAAGTGCGATGTCCGGACAGGCACCACCCGGGAACAACGGAGATCCGGCAAAGAGTCCCGCTGCCATCCATAGGAAAAGAATATAAAAACGGACCAAAAATAAATTTCGATCATAATTAAATCAACACAAAACACTTTCCACCGACATGCATCCATCCTCTGTCACATGCCACACATATGCTACGTGGCCACACAGGAAAAACTTTCGGTTCAATCAAATTAGGCGGAATTGATGGGGACACACAGTATTGACCTACCCTGGGATAGGAAGTATGGGTCCACCGTTTTGTAGCCACTGGCCGACGGAGCTAGATAGGCGCCAAGAGCCATCTGCAGATAGCCCGGATCACCATACGGTCCAGCAGGATAGATGACGCTCGGGTTGTGACTGCTGAACTGAGGCCCGGGTGGACCATTGTTGTGGGGACCGTTTTGATTGTTGAGGGATAGTTTGCTGTACCTGAAGAGAACGAAATGTGTGTGGTTACCATGTGAATTATTTTCAATGGAAATTATACCGTTCCTTGTTGGGTCATTATTTCCAAGGTATGATCTCATTTATAAAGTTCGCTTCCAGACCATTTGAAGTTTACTAGGAAATTATTATTGAAAAACCAAACATCTGTGTATCCTTACACTGCAATTGAACTAGGATTCGAACTCTTATGTTATTTAAGATGTCGCATGATGTGTTTTGGTTCAAGTCAGAAACTAGCCTCTTCCCCTGGAGTATACGGAGCATGCCCGGATGTAGCCAATGTGATCGTTCAATATTACCCCCATTGATCTTGTTTTCGAATTGCAGGCCATATCTCCGGAAACACTCTATAGATTCCAAAAATATGCATATGGCAGTTGTTGCGTCCGATTTGGCTCAGAGGTTGTCGAGAAACATACTGGTAAAATAATATGTTCGCACTACGTATAATAAAAGTTGGTTGAAAACATCTGGTGTTTCAGGGGTCACCTTTTGTTACTTATAATCAGAATAAAGTTAGAGATGGAAAACTTATTTCTTGAGCAAAGATGCTTAAAATAAATAGTTCTACAACTTCCGTGAAACATTTTCATGATCTATCTCAAATACCTAAAAAGTTGATATTTTAAACTTAATAAACATGCGGCCCTCCCTATTTTCAATTTAAAATTAAAGATAGACAACACAGTTTTTGACAAAGTTGTAGAACTATTTATTTCAAGCAACTTTGCTGAAGTAATGCATCTTTTATCTCTAACGGTTCACGTTTTATGTTGGTTTTTATAAGTAACTTTTTTATTTCCACTGCTCGGGACATAAAACCACTGCGAATAGTAAAATTGCCTACTTAATAGTGTCATTTCTACTTTAAGTAATGTGACTATGGTATGACCAGACACTCCCGGGTAACTAGCTCAGTAGCATGAGACCCCTGAACTGTGTCGCAGGGCCGGCATGTTACTGGGTATTCGGAGGGGCTACGCGGACAAAGTATGAAACACACAGGAATATTCACATTTTCTAAAACATTTGACGGATTTCACGCCAACTCATCCAGTGGTTGGCAGCACCCTCTCAGAACCTTATGGAACTTTGTGGGTGTGGAGACTTAGCAATTTTAAGCAACTTTGCGTACTTATTTTTTTCAAAATTTATCTCGCCTAACATTTGATAAGGGTCAAAGTTTTTTGTCGATTTTTTTTTTCAAATCGATATAGCTTAAAAATGACAAGCCCTACAAAAAAGTGATGTATGGCGAACTTTTAGCAAATAATCTGAAATTTTATAAAAAAATTTAAATAAAATAAAAAATCGGTTTGTACACTCTAAAAAAATATATTTAAAAATTAAAAGTCATTTTCCCAAAAATGGTACCCCTCAGATTTGCTTGATATTTTTTCTCATGAAAGGCAATATAATTACCTAACTTTTCTTCATACATCGCAAAGTAGGCGCTTTTAAGGAAAAAAAGTTGTTCGAACAACAACTTTTTCATGTTAATTTTTTTTTAGCGTGTTTCACTCAAAGTCGAATAGTAATACGCGCACAACCTTATTAAAATTCGATTAAACTTTATGGGTATACTTTTCGATAATCTGGGCGAAATCCAGCCTAACATTTGAAAAGGGTACAGAGAAGTTACCTGCAAATCGTCCAATAAGAGTTCAGAACAAAACGTTCTAATGAGGAACAGCCATCTCAGCATGGTTTGCACTTTCCTGTGATGGATTGTATTATAATATATGCATACACTCTATCCAACTTCTATAAAACCACCCTCAAATTGTTCCAAATCAACAGGTAAACTAAGTAAAAATCACTTAGTATGTTTTATTCATGAAAAGATTTCAATTCATGTATTTGTGATTAATTTAATTAGAAAAATAATCATTCATTTATTTTTATGTATTAGGTGTGTCCATTAGTAAGCAATATGCATATATGTTTATACCTCATCTCTCAAGTGAATACATATAATAGCGCAGGTAACTTAACGATTATTTAAGGCATGCCTAAAATAATCGTTAAGTTACCTGCTATATAGCAGTTATATAACAACGCAGGTAGTCACATGAGAGATATAAGGTATAAACTTAAAGCACCGCAGTCTGTTTCTACCGACATAATCTAATATTTAAGTTTGGTGATATCACAACAATGCTCATAGTTGCTGTAGTGCATAGTTGTTGAAAGTGTAGTGCTGCATAGTTGTTGAAACGAAAAAGTGTTTATATATACAACAATGGAAAAATCTGCTGAATTGATTATTAAAAGGGTGCAATGTAGTGCCAACATAAACAATCCCAATTGCAGCCGCAATAATTTACGTAATTTATCATCAAGTCTCATAGAGAAAATACATTCATGGGGCTTTGATCATCAATTGGATGTAACAATGCGTATTTGTGAATCGTGTCGTGGAATTTTAGTGCACAATAGGACACCTCTCCCGAAAAAGAGGCGATCGGATGGAAAAGAATCAAGCCATGCTCGGAAGTTTGAAGAGCCGCAACCATCAACAAGTCATCAGCAATCAGAACATCAGGAATTTGATGATATACTAGGTAAATAATAATAACTTTAACTGTTTCAACTGTGTGGTTTAAGGATTGTACATCGAAGATACAACTTCATTTTCAACATTTTTTTAGAGCACGAGCTGGATGAACCGCTTATCGTACAAATTTGATCGATTGGTAGGCCAACCTCGGTGAACAATCTATCAAATTTTCACGACTGTACGATATGCGGTTTATGCAGCTCGTGCTCCACAAACATGGGGAAAATTCAGATGCGGCTTCGATGTACCGTAAACGGGGATGTCTTTGATAATGGAGGTAACTTTGATAATGCAGCTAATCCAAAAAGTTATGACTTAATGCTCTTCGTATTCATTATTTTGGAAGGGAACATCGGTTTCCTATCCAAAATATTGCGTACGATGTGCCTTAAGTCATAAATTTTTGGCTTAGCTGCATTACCAAAGTTACCCCTATTATCAAAACCACCCCCGTTCATGGTACTATCACCTTAACAGCGTTATATATTAATGTGTGGTAATATTTTTTTTTTCTTTTCTTTAATTTTACAGATACAGATCCATCGCTAGAATCAATCCCATCAGCGGATCAGATCCAATGTCCATATAATGTGGAACAATTCAATTGTATAGCTTCAACCTTACAGTTATCACCAATTTCATCGAGAAGTATGAGAAGTATGAATTATCGTGTTCAAAAATCTGCAGAGATCACAAAGGCAGTGCGTAAAAATATATTTGGGATGGATTCAGACGATGTCAACAAATCAAATGATTTTGACGAAATGATCATGCAGTTAAAGGAGAAATTTAATTTGCCTTCTACGAGTACAAATGACAAATTAAAAGTGTTATCAGTGCTCCCTAAATCATGGTCAGTGAATCAAATAGTTAATGAGTTTAATGCACCCCATCATACAGTGAAACAGATGAAAAGGCTAGTCAGAGAACAAGGTATTCTTTGTAGTAAGAAAGCAAGAAGTGGTCATGGATTTAATGATACTGAAAAACAAATTGTTTTAAATTTCTTTGACAGTGATGATATTAGTAGGCCTATGCCAGGAAGTAATGATTATGTTTCTGAATATCGAAATGGATATAAAGAGCATGTTCAGAAACGTTTATTGATGATGTCTCTTAAAGAGGCTTTTATGATTTTTGAAGAGAAATACAAAAGTGTTAAAATCGGATTTACTTCGTTCACTCAGCTCCGACCAAAGCATTGCATACTGTTGGATAGTACAGGTACACATAATGTATGTGTCTGTACTATACATGAAAATGTTAAATTGATTATTAATAGTGTAAAATTTGATTCATATAAAGAAATTGCAGACAAAATACTTTGCAGTACTGCCCTGCAATTGCCCTTTTCTGTGGCGTGTGGGTGTGGGTATTCACATATATGTGGCGTGTATGCGAGAGTTTATAAACGGTACGGTACTCACTGTTGCAGCAGATTCGCCTTCGGCGTCGCGACGCTGTCGTTGGCCCACACGGCTGCTCCTGCACTACCGTGTGGCCGGAAACTTGCGGCGCGGGCTGCAGACAGTGTTGTTGCCGCTTTGGGAGAATGGCGGATCTGGTGGCGTTCATCAGTCACATACGGCTCAGCAGTCTTCCGTCGTTGACGGCATCGGCTGACCGTGGCATGGCCACCTTGGTCGAGCCGAGACGGGACCCTCCTTGATAATAAAGGCCACCGGCCTTAGGGAATCGTCCCTGACGGACGATCGAGGATCATTTACTATTAGGCTCGGAAGCCATCTTGACTTCCGAGCCGAGCCGTGTAAGACCGTTTTATTTACGGTACGAGGTGTACAAAATGTACAAAAGCACAAGAGGTCCTGAACGGAGGTAGGCTTTCCAGCCCAAACCTTCACAAGGGGGGAGGGGTTGTATTAAATATGCACTACACTTCACGATACCGGTCTACACGGACGCCTGATTACTTCTGCCTAATCTTCCAAATCTAAGATGGCTAGCTATTCATCATCCAATTTGCGCATCCATTGTTATTTTAAAGCCAAGATATTTCTCCCTTCAGTAACGTTACGTTGTTGTTTGCAGCGGCACGAACCCTCTCGCTCTTGTGTGTGTCTACTGTTTTAAGTTTAACAAAACGTGAATTTTCCAAACAACAACAACTCATACAAACGAAAATCCACGAATTGTAACCAACTGGTTACAGTAAGCTGCATTCAGACACATTTTAGGGATATACGAGTCTAAAACATGTGTTTTCCTACGGGTTTTCCCTTATTATTTAAAAAAATACGTAATAAAGTGTATGTTTTTGTCTTATCAAAAGATTCCTCTCAATGCGCTCTACAACTCTCTCTTTGACAGCAATTTTCTATCTTGTTTAGTTTTGTCACAATTTCGTACTACATCATGTTGCGTCGTTAATTAACGGTTGCGTAAAACACGAATTCAACCCCAC